TTTCTGCTTCCCTGGAGACTAGGACGCGGAACAATGGCTTCAAACTACAGGAAAGGAGATTCCATCTGAACAAGAGGAAGAACTTCCTGACTGTGAGATCCTTTCAGCAGTGGAACTCTCTGCTCCGGAGTGTGGTGGAGGCTCCTTCTTTGGAAGCTTTTAAACAGAGGCTGGATGGTCATCTGTCAAGGGTGATTTGAATGCAATATTCCTGCTTCTTGGCAGGGGGTTGGACTGGATGGCCCATGTGGTCTCTTCCAACTCTTTGGTTCTATGATTCTATGGAGTGACCATCACTCAAAAAAGTTGAGTTTGTCATTTGGGAGTTGTAGTTGCTGGGATTTATAGTTCACCTACAATCAAAGAGCATTTTGAACTCCACCAATGATGGAATTGAACCAAATGTGGCACACAGGACCAACAGAAAATACTAAAAGGGTTTGGTTGGCATTGACGTTGAATTGGGAATTATAGTACACCTACATCCAGAGAACACATTTTTATTTATATAGATAGATATTTGTACTTCTGTCTGCAAAGTTACAACATATTCCCTTTTTCAATACCCTGTTCCTTCTAATCATCAAACCCAAAAGTTGCTAAGTCATTCTCTTGTGAAAAGTCTATAAGGGGTTTCAGTTTTTGCAAAATGTTACGAATGACCTTTCCTGAAGCAAATCAGGTCATTTGCCCACTTCTGCTTTCTGTTTGAACAGCCATTCCACCATAGTGTCATATTCTCCCATCTTTGTCCATACAACCATCTTGTTGCCATATATTGAAGCAGTCCTCCATGACTCTTTTTCTGGCTGTACATCAGGCATGGGCAAACTTGGGCCCTCCAGATGTTTTGAAGTCCAAAATACCTGGAGGGCCCAAGTTTGCCCATGAGTGACACACACCCACCAATCTCAAAAGTTTAACTGCATATTATTATTTTTAATCCTTTGCATCAATGTTTATTTCAACCCAGTTTTTAAAGTTTTGTCATCTACCTATTTGTTGCGAAATGGGAAAAAGCACAGAGATTGCTAAAATTGTGTGCATCTTCACTGTGGAACTGATGCAGTTTGACACCACTTTAACTGCCATGGCCCAATGCATTTTTATTTGCCTAGATCAAATAAAAATGCTCTTATATTGTGTTTTCCCCAATTTTATGGAGCCCCTGGTCACGCAGTGGGTTAAACCACTGAGCTGCTGAATTTGCTGATCGAAAGGTCACAGGTTCGAGTCCGAGGGGCGACGTGAGCTCCCGCTGTCAGCCCCAGCTTCTGCCAACCTAGCAGTTCAAAAACATGAAAATGTGAGATCAATAGGTACCGCTCAATTGGGAAGGTAACGGTGCTCCATGTAGTCATGCCGGCCACATGACCTCAGAGGTGTCTATGGACAATGCCAGCTCTTCAGCTTAGAAATGGAGATGAGCACCAATCCCCAGAGTCGGACACGACTGGACTTAGTCAGGGGAAAACCTTTACCTTTATCTACCACTTATATAGGGGTTTTCCACCCTAACTCTAGTGAAACAGAGAGCTGACTATATTTCTGAAACTTGTGCTTTCAGCACATAAAGTGAGCAGAAAAAAGAGACAATGCCATATATGTACAGGTAAACATCCCCCTCTGGTGGTCATAAATAAAATTGCAGACACCATGGAACAATGTGGCTCCATTTACTGAGTTCCTTTTGTCCACAATTGATTAACTGCACAATTGGGTTGCTGTTAATTTTACCAGACTTTCTGGCCATGTTCAGAAGCATTCTCTCCTGATGTTTCACCCACACCATTCTCAGAGGTTGTGAGGTCTATTGGAAACAAGGCCAGTGAGGTTTATATATCTGTGAAATGTCCAGGGTTGGAGAAAGAACTCTTGCCTACTTGAGGCAAGTGTGAATGTTACAATTGGCCACCATGTTTAGCACTGAATGGCCTTGCAGCTTCAAAGCTTGGCTGATTGCAGCTTGGGAGAATCCTTTGTTGGGAGGTGTGAGCTGGCTTGCCCAACAAAGGGTCCCCCGCAGCAACCAGCCAAGCTTTGAAGCTGCAAGGCCATTCAATGCCAATGCTTTGGACAGTATGTTTGGCAGTATTCACAGTGCATGAACTCTGACAATGACAGGCTTTGGACTGAGTTGTCGGTCGCTAAATCAGATTTAGACTCGGCTAGATGATTAATAATAATGTTTTAACATATTTTAATCCAATCCTTTTCTCTTGTATAATGTTGCTGTAATTGTGTTTGTATGACCGAAATTAGAAAAGAAATAAACTATGCAGAAGAAAATAGGTCAACATGAAAGATTGAAGAGAGAAGACAAGACTAGAGAGAATGTTATGGACAAAAAAAAAAAATACTTTTATAGAGGACACGGAGAAGGAGATTTGGAAGTCAACAATAACCCCATAATTTACTTTTCACCCACTTCTTTTCCTATATTTATTTATTTTATTTTCCTTCCCTTATAGATATATAATACCCATCACTCACCCATTTCCCAACCTGCCCCTCTTACCTACGACCTATATTACCCAACCCCAATTTTATGTATGTAAAAATAGATAAGCATTCAATAAAATTATTTTTAAAAAGCTTGGCTGGTGGCAGCTGGGGGAATCCTTTGTTGGGAAGTGTTAGCTGGCCCTGATTGATTCTTGTCTGAATTTCCCCTGCTTTTTGAGTGTTGCTCTTTATTTACTGTCCTGATTTTAGAATGTTTTAATACTGGTATCCAAATATTGTTCATTTTCATGGTTTCTAGGCCATTAAATGCAATCAGGGAGCAATCAGCCAGGCTTTGAAGCTGCAAAGCCATTTAATGCTAATTAAGGTGGCCTATTGCAACATTCACACTTGTCTCAAACAGACAAGAGTTCTTTCTCTCTCCTTGGACATTCCACAGATATAAACCCCACTTGCCCTAGTTTCCAACAGACCTCACAACCTCTTGAGGATGCCTGCCATAGATGCAGGCGAAATGTCAGGACAGAATGCTTCTGGAACATGGTCATACAGCCTGGTAAACTTGAATGGCCTTGTAGCTTCAAAGCCTGGCTGGTTGCTGCCTGGTGGAATCCTTTGTTGGGTGATGTTAGTATGAAAGGCTGCCATAGATGCAGGCAAAATGTCAGGGGAGAATGCTTCTGGAACATGGCCATACAGCCCGGAAAACTCACAGCAACCCAATAAGAGAAAGTCCAATTCACTGAATTGAGGATACTATGGACTGCTATAAAATCAAATCAATGGTTCCTAAGGCAAATCAAGCCTGTATTAATGAATCCAACACAATATTGATTATTTAGAATTAGGTACAATTTTTATTAATTTATTTTAAAAGGCATTTTTCATATAAAAGGTTCTTTTAAAAAAGGCAAAAAAGGACATTGTATCAATGGTGCATCAAAACAAGCTGCAGATAAAAGACATTTCGCACAATTATACTCTTTCCATAAATTAAAAAAAGCACACAGCTGTTATTTACAGGACATATATTAAACATCGTGAATAATAATAACAATAATAATAATACTTTGCCCAACAACAAGTTACTTCCAGCCAAGCGCTTAAAAAAATCCTTCAATATACAATAATTAAACTCTGCTTCATTCATAAATCTCTTTACAACGATATCACTTGAGGTAGGTGAAGTATTATTTATTTTTACAGCCACATGGCGTCGCCAGAACACACGCTGCCAATGGGAACAACATTTTAAATTCAGCTGTCTTTTTCCATTTATGTTTACAAAATATAAAACCCAAAATCCACCTGTAACTTCCAACTAATATGCATCCACACTGTAGAACTAATGCAGTTTGACACTACTATCGCTTACTGCTATGGAATCCAAAGGGTTGTAGTTTTATTTGGCTCAAAGTTAACAGGAATCATGGGATGTGTAGTTTGGGCAAGTGGCAACACTCTTTGGCGGGCAAAGCTAAAGACCTTACTAAACTACATCTCCCTGGATTCCACAGTATTGAGCCATGAAAGTAAAATCTTAATTCGACAGTGTAGATCAGGTATGGGCCAACTTTGACTCTCCAGGAGTTTTGGACTTCAACTCCCACAATTCCTAACAGTCTCAGGAAAGAGCCTGAGGTCTGTTGGAAACTAGGCAAGTGAGGTTTATATATCTGAGGAACATCCAGGGTGGGAGAAAGAACTGTTTGATGTAAGTGTGAATGTTGCAATAGGCCACCTTGATTAGCACTGAATGGCCTTGCAGCTTCAAAGCCTGGCTGATTGCAGCCTGGAGGAATCCTTTGTTGGGTTGAAGGGCCTGAAACTGTTAGGAATAGTGCAAGTTAAAGTCCAACAGAATGAGTTGACATAACTAACTTTCCTTTGATACAATGGAACTACTTAAATTAGGAGTAACAAGTGGATTCGGGCCAATGATGGGAAGTGTGGCTCTCTGGAGGGATTGTGGAACAATGGCTCCCAGGCCCCATCTCCACTGCCATATAAAAACTAAATTATCTGCTTTCAACTGGATCATATAATCCAGTCCAAAGCAGAAAATGCGGATTGACTGTGGGTTCTTGTAAATGTTTCGGTCGGTATGGCCATGTTCAAGAAGCATTCTCTCCTGACGTTTCACCCACATCTATGGCAGGCATTCTCACATGTTATGAGGTCTGTTGGAAACTAGGAAAATTGGGTTTATATATCTGTAGAATGTCCAGGGTGGGAGAAAGAAGAGCTAATCACATCTCAACAAAGGATTCCCCCAGGCAGTAAGATGTTTTGATCTTCAGATATTTTGACCTTTAGATGTTTTGACCTTCAACTCCCAGAAATCCTAACAGCTGGTAAACTAGCTGGGGTTTCTGGGAGTTGTAGGCCAAAACACCTGGGGACCCACAGGTCAAGAACCACTGGCGTAGCGGTTTCAAGGTGGTACTTCTTACTGCCTGGGGGAATCCTTTGTTGAAAGATGTTCTTTCTCCCACCCTGGACATCATTCCACAGATATATCAACCCCATTTTCCTAGTTTACAAAATTTCCAACATCCGAGGATGCTTGTCATAGATGTGGGCAAAACGTCAAGAGAGAATGCTTCTGGAACATGGCCATACCGCCTGAAAAACTTGCAACAACCCAGTGATTTCATCCTTTGACAATACATGGATTATCTGTGTTGACAATCTAGTTTATATGGAGGCATAGATTGAGCCCCAGATGCCCTAAATCAATGGTGTGGAAAGATGGGATTTACAGTATTTGGAGAGCCACCCTATTCGTGCCCAAAAGATAGAAGCGGAGGCACTGTGCCTGGTGAAAATTTCAAAAGCTAGGACAGCAAGGAAATGCATTCTACTTCTCTATTCCTTGCCCTACAAGTAGCCAACAAAGGACGGATTTTGAAAAACAGATTATATTCACATGAACAGTGTATACAGAAGTCCATACCACATTCACCTCCTCTCCCCACAACTTTGGTAGCAGCAGGATTGACTTCTTAAAGTGCAACATACATACAAATGCATCATCTACTTGTTTCCCAGCTTTACAGAAGTAGCCAAGAAAACGAAAACTGAGGAAAGAGGAGCTCGTGCTTAGATTTCACCTTCTGGGAGATGAAAGGTAAGTACCTTTTGGGGTTCAAACCTATCCTGTGGGGCGACAGGATAGGCTTGAACCCATCTAAGAAGGAATCTGTATCCATCCTCCATTCCTTTGCTCCCTTCTCCAACAAGGCAACGTTCTGAGCGCACAACAAAGTGCTGCAAATATATTTATATATACACAGTCGGAATGCTACAGTCGTTCAGCACCATAGAAACAAGGTGACACCCTTGACACACACCAAAGAGGGCAAAACTAAGACACCAACTATCTAAGATTCCTCCATAAGAGAATTGCTAGCAGAACAGCTACCTTCCCTGAGGACTAAGGCTCGAGAGTCGCATTGTCAGTGGAGTCCCAACTTCTGGTCCTGAAGATGCTTGGGCAAGAGCTAGGGACCACTGCCGTTGCCCAGCTACGTCGTCTTTCATGGTTTCGTGGCCCGTTTGGTGAGGCGCTTCACCAAGTTGGGGTTGGGCTGCCTATTGGCCGGCTTTTTCGATCCGACGTTGGGATAGTAGAAGGTTACGGGTTGGTACGCCGGGAGGTAGCTGACCATGCCTTGATGGCATGGGACCCACAGAGGCGCCGGAACGTAGAAATACTGGGCCGGCTTGGGAAAAGAAAAGACAGAAAGGTTAAAATAGGGATCTTTCATTTCTCTATTATGGAAAAATGCCATCCTAGCAAGCGAAGTATCAACACCCACCACCACCATTATATAAACACTAGCTGTACCCGCCACGCGTTGCTGTGGCCAACCTTCTCTCTTTCTCTCCTTCTTTCCATCCTTCATTCACTCGCTCTTTTCCTTCCTTCCCATCTTTCCTTCTCTTCTTCCTTCCTTCTCTATTTCTTTCCTTCCTTCCCCCTTTTTCTTTCTCTTCTGCTGTCTCTCTTTTCTTCGTTCTATCTTTCCTTCTTTACTTCCCACCCTCTTTCTCTACATCTTCCCCCTTCCTTCGCTCCCTCTTTCCTTCCTTCTTTCTCTAACTTTCCTTCCTTCCTCCTTTTTCTTTCCCTCCCTCTTTCACACCTTTCTTTTCTTTCTTTTCTTTCTTTTCTTTTCTTTTCTTTCTTTCTTTCTTTCTTTCTTTCTTTCTTTCTTTCTTTCTTTCTTTCTCACCCTCCCTCTTTCTTTCTCCCTTTCTTTCTCTCTCCCTTTCTTTCTCTTTTTTCTCTCTTTCTTCTCCTCTTCCCTCCCTCTTTCTTCCTTTTTTACTGTATTGTCATTTAGCTTTTCGCCATTTAGCTTTTGGGCCCTTTTAAAGTCACTTCTGCTGTGTTTTTCTGTGTTTTTATGAGTGAAGAACATACATTGGCTTGTTAGGTGTATGTTGTCCAAATTTGGTGTCAATTCCACCAGTGATTTTTGAGTTCTGTTAATCCCACAAACGAACATTACATTTTTATTTATATAGATTCAAGGGAACAATGCCATCCTAGCAAGTGTAGTATCAACACCCACCACCACTACTATACAAACATTCAAGGGAACAATGCCATCCTAGCAAGCTAAGTATCAACATCCACAAATCCCATAGCATTGAGCCATGGCAGTTATAGTGGTGTCAAATGGCATTAATTCTATAGTGTAGGGCCAGTCTGAACCAGATTGGTTGGACAGCCATCATTTAGGAGTGTTTTGGTTTTATATTCCTGTATGGCAAAGGTGGTTGGACTAGGTGGTCTTTGTGGTCCCTTCCCAACTCTATGGTTCTATTATACCTGTTGTTGTTTGTTGTTGTTGTTGGTTTTCCATGGTTCGTATTTGCTCATGGCCGTGGATTTTGCTGCCAGCTTGGCTTTCCCCTCGTCTTCCGATGAACATTCGGAGGAGGGAGACTCCGAATGGTAGTCTGATGTTGTCTCCGGATCAGGTGTAGTTTTGCCACTGGCAGTGGTGCTCTCTTCCTCATCCTTCACCGTAAAATAGTGGCTGTTCTCACTGAGCCTGAGTGGAAGGAGGGAAGTGGAAGGTTAAGACAGGCAGGGAGGACTTTCACCTAGAAATGATATAACAATATTTTGTGAGAAGCAGAAATTCAGTAGGCAGAGCTTTCATTGTGGACCATACAAAATATTTAAAAAGCCATTTTCAATTCAAGTGTCTTATGTTCTGCTGACAATTCCAAGAGGTTTATATATCTGTGGAATGTCCAGGGTGGGAGAAAGAACTCTTGTCTTGATATGTGGGGTACCTCTGGGGTTATTATATTGATACTTGTCTGTTTATGGAGGCATTGAATGTTTGCAGTTGGAATCCTCCCTGAGTCCCCCCCTTGGGAAGATAGGGCGGGATATAAATAAAGTTTTATTTATTACTAGCCATCCCCTGCCACGCGTTGCCGTGGCCCAGTCTGTGTATATGTGTTTTGTGTGTGTATATATTTGTATATGTGTGTGTATATATTTGTGTATATGTGTATTTATGTGGTTATGCATAAATACACATGTGGTTATGCCGAAGCTGCCAGTGACGCAGTGGGGGCTTCGCAGTGGGGGTTAACCGAAAGGTCGCAGGTTCGAATACGGGGAGCGGCATGAGCTCCCACTGTTAGCCCCAGCTTCTGCCAACCTAGCAATTTGAAAACATGAAAATGTGAGTAGCTCAATGAAGTATCTCTCTGGCGAGAAGGTAACGGTGTTCCATGCAGTCACTTTCACAGGATGCGTTGTGGAGTTTGCAATAGAGCACAAACAGGGGTCCACACGCAATGCAATGTGAATTAATCCAGCAACTGAGCATAGCTGCAATCCTATGCACATTTATAACTGGGAATACATTCCGTTGAGTACAATGGAGACTCGTCGAGTAAACACGTCGAGGATTGCAAAGTATGCAGTTCCCTTTGGGGGAAAATATGGGCATATTCCAAAAACGTCCTTACCGACAGCAGACCTCTCCAGGGTCAATCCACATGGTAAATTCCCAGGGTAACTTTAATTCAGAATATTCCAGTCCACAGTCTTTGCAAGCTTTCAGGAGCGAATCATCGACAGGCTGATTCCTATTGATCCGGATACACCTGGTAGGGAGGAGAGCAGATGAGGAATTTTAGCTTAGAGCAAGACAAATCCCATGTGCCACTGAAACAGAAAGTATGCACGAGCCATCATTCAGTCAAGTTAGCCTTTCCTAACCTGGCAATCCTTTGACTGCAAATGTCATCCTGTCCAGCACTAAAATGAATCCCAGGTGCTTTAGGCTTGATTTCAGGGGAAGGAATTGGCAAAACTACCCCTGAATAGTCCTTGCCAAAATAACTCCTTTGGAATAGATGGAAGAGTTAAAAGGCACACACATCTGTGTACTGTATTTCCAAAAATGTATGTTATGTATGTACGTTCACACAAAATAGGAACGTACATAGGACTGAAGACCAACAGATCGGAGGTTTGAATCTGGGGAGAGTGCGGATGAGCTCCCTCTGTTAGCTCCAGCTCCCCATTCGGGGACATGAGTGAAGCCTCCCACAAGGATGGTAAAACATCAAAACATCAGGGCATCCCCTGGGGAACGTCCTTGCAGGTGGACAATTCTCTCACACCAGAAGCGACTTGCAGTTTCTCAAATCGCTCCTGACACTGAAAAAAAAAAATCACACAAAATGCTCACTATATATTTTATATGTCTGGGCCAGTTTCCAGCTTGAAAGAGACTTTAAATAGCCATTTCCTGTTTCTATAAAATACTATTTTGGTCCCTGAAATGGCAAAATATCCCCTCCTAGGCTTCTACGAGTTATTTTTCATACCAGTCTTCGTGGGAGGTGTGCATGTGGAGCCAACTCAGACCCAGGGAAAGCAAAAACACTTCCCTTCCCATCGAAACCACATCAGATTATGAAGGACTTCCAAATGCAAACAAAAGAAAAAATGTACACAATCAGACCTCCTTATCTATAAAGTTTGTATCTACAGATTCCACCATTCATGGTTGAAAATAATGCAAACTTTGCAATTGATTTTGCTATGTTATAAGGGATATAATTTCCCTCCGCCATTGTATTTTTGGCAAGATAGCCACAGTATAGAGACTTATAAAACCATAGTAAGTGAAACCAATGAATAATTTCATTGCAACCGAGCCAGGGTTCTTGTTTGCTCTTCTTAAATATGCCAGGTTTGTACACTACCAAAAGCCAAATCAAAACACCTTTCAACTTTGGGTTAGTGTGGGTTTTCTTGGCTATATAGCCATGATCCAGAAGCATGCTCTCCTGACATTTCACCCACATCTAGAGGTTGTGAAGTCTGTTTTCTTTCTCACATGTAACGATTGCGCTCAGCCATTTCTAATCTCCTTGCTGTCTCTAAACATTCACTGAAATTGGCATGAGTGACTTAGAAACAAACACGCCTGAATCAGTTTGCTCCGGTACAGATTGTGCACCAATAATACAGTTTTATAGAACAAGGCCTGCCAAATAACCTTCCTGTGGTGCAATAAATGCCATCCCGTGCTTTGCAAACAAAACTCCTTTCTGACCCGCAGGTGAGCAGCACAGGTAGAGCAGCCGCCAGGTATGCAAACTGTGCTTCAATCAGGTACACCAATAGCCTTGAGGGATACAATGTGGGTCTTTCACGGCTCGCTCTGCAAACAACACACTCTACAAAAAGGCATGAGATCATTGCTTGATATGAACATCTGACCAACAGCTAGAGGACAAAGGACACCTAGGACGGCACTAAAGATCTCTGCCACAAAATATTTAACTTTAGGAATGCGAAATTAGCCCTACAGATTTGTTGTTGATGATGATTCAAGGGAAATGTGTCCAGAGGAGGGTGACTAAAAAGATCAAGGGTCTGGAGAACAAGCCCTGTGAGGAGCGGCTTAAAGAGCTGGGCATGATTAGCCTGAAGAAAAGGTTGAGAGGAGACATGATGAGGGCCATGTATAAAGATGTGAGAGGAAGTCACAGAAAGAAAGGAACAGGCTTGTTTTCTGCCACCCAGGAGACTACAAGGGTTGAATGAAAAGTAATACCTCCACCTTCATAACTCTTCAACAGATGGCAGTACTGGTATGCAGCAGGTGCTAGCTTGTTCAGTAGACTCTCCTCTACAGTTCCATTTTGGTGGGAAGCCTTAGCATTGAACGGTTGTGCTGTTAAAGTGCAAAGTATGGAACCCTGCGCAGATGGTCGGTCAATGCGACTTAAGCAACGTGTAGTCATTGAATTCTTGACAGCAGAAGGTGTCACCCCAAAGGAGATTCATCAGAGAATGCAAGCTGTTTATGGTGATTGTGTTGATGTGAGTACTGTGTGTTGTTGGGAAAGTTTAAAGATGTTAAGGTGACACCTTCTGCTGTCAAGAATTCAATGACTGCACGTTGCTTAAGTCGCACTGACTGACTGTCTGCGCAGGGATCACTCTGCTGACTGTTGTATCAGATCACACATCGGACACTTCCCAAGTGTCTAGGACTGTGTGATGTATCGGCAAATAATGCGTGCAGATCCCAGTAAGGTGGCCTTTTGCAGCTGACAGATGGTAATTTTGTCAGTGCCTATTGTGTTTAAGTGCAAGCCAAGGTCTTTAGGCACTGCAACCGGTGTGCCAATCACCACTGGGACCACCTTTACTGGCTTGTGCCAGAGTCTCTGCATTATTATTATTATTAGGGATCTTCCAACAAAGGATCTCCCAGGCAGCAATTAATAATAATAATAATAATAATAATAATAATAATAGGTTGTAGGTTTTTTCGGGCTATATGGTCATGTTCTAGAGGCATTCTCTCCTGACGTTTTGCCTGCATCTATGGCAAGCATCCTCACTACCTCTGAGCCATAGATGCAGGCGAAACGTCAGGAGAGAATGCCTCTAGAACATGGTCATATAGCTCGAAAAAACCTACAACAACCCAGTGATTCCCGCCATGAAAGCCTTCGACAATACAATAATAATAATAATAATAATAATATGGACCTCCCAACAAAGGATCCCCCAAGCAGCAATCAGCAAGCTTTGAAGCTGCAAAGCCATTAAAGGCTAATCAAGGTGGTCAATTGCAACATTCACACTAGCCTCGAGCAGACAAGAGTTCTGTCTCCCACTCTGGACATTATTCCACAGATACATAAATCTCACTTGCCTAGTTTCCAACAGACTTCACAACCTCTGAGGATGCCTGCCATAGATGTGGGTAAAACATCAGGCGAGAATGCTTTTGGAACATGGCCATATAGCCCAGAAAATTCACAGCAACCTAGAGATTCCGGTCACGAAAACTTTCGACAACACAATGTATGCAAATGCCCTGTTTCTTCCATTGTTGGGCTTTTGATGTTTCTGATAAAGAGAAAATGAACCTCCTTTCTAGTTAAACAGGCTTGTTTTCCATCTCCACAGCTGAAGCCACGACAGACCTCCACCATTTCCTTGACATTAAACACAGCATGTTGTTTTGTGATCCTTTTTGCTGATTAAGCTCATCCTTGTGGTGTAAGCGTTGACAGAGGTTACTGCGTTCATGGTCTTTCTTTTTTGTTGTTCTGATTTTGCAAAAGAAGTCAAGCAGTGACCTTCTGGCAAGCCAAGAAACCCAGTCGGCTCAGACGCAACTGGAGGAGGGATGTGTGTGCTGGCAGGACTGAAGACTGACAGGTCAGAGGTTTGAATCCAGGGAGAGCGTGGATGAGCTCCCTCTATCAGCTCAGGCTCCCCACGCGGGGACATGAAAGAAGCCTTCCCACAGGATGTTAACACTTGCAGTTTGGGGAAAACACACCTTGACTTTTAGGTGTTGTAGTTGCTGGGGTTTACAGTTCACCCAGAGCAGTGGGTTAAACTTTGTGCTGGGAGGACTGAAGACCGACAGGTCGGAGGTTCAAATCTGGGAAGAGTGCAGATTTGCTCCCTTTGACAGCTCGAGTTCTTCATGCGGGGACATGAGAAGCCTCCCACAAGAATGGTAAAACATCAAAACATCCAGCCATCCCCGGGTAACGTTCCTGCAGATGGCCAATTCTCTCACACCAGAAGCAACTTGTAGCTTCTCAAGTCGCTCCTGACATGATTAAAAAAACTGTGTGATGGGGCTCTGAGCATGAGCAGAGAGTTTTCTCTTGATTGTTAACAAAAATCACGAGCATGTACACAACTTTGTTAGATCAAGCATGAATTTAGTGTTCTAAAGCAAAGGCTCAGATTTTACAGGTGTGCTTAATATACACCTGTATGAGCCACCGGTGGTGCAGCGGGTTAAAAGGTCAGCAGTTTGAATCCTGGGAGCAGGGGTGAGCCCCTGCTATTAGCCCCCGCTTCTGCCAACATAGCAGTTCAAAAAGAAACAAATGTGAGTAGATCAATAGGTACTGCTTTAGGGTAACGGCACTCCATTCAGTCATGCCGACCACATGACCTTGGAGGTGTCTATGGACAAAGCCGGCTCTTTGGTTCAGAAATAAAGATGAGCACCACCCCCTAGAGTTGGACATGACTAGACTTCATGTCAGGGGAAACATTTTATGTTTACCTTTAATACACTTACATGCCGCTAGAAAGTAGCTTGGTAATGTTTCAAAACCCAACACCGGATCTACCTCTGGATGTTGTTTGACCACACACACCATCATTCCTTCCCATTGACAATGCTAATGGAGGCTGATGGGAGATACAGTTCAACAATATCCAAAGGGACACACAATCCCCCAACATGAAACCGATCATAACTCCTCCCTCTTCGACTTAAAAGGAATCACACCCCAGACACTGTTGCTTACCTGTAAGCCTGTCCTTTGAGGGGTTTCTCTGGGTACCAGTGCCCGGTGTAGCGTTCACACAAGATGGCAACCAGGCACTCGCCGAAACGCTCCACCCGTTGCTTGTCCACTTTCTCATTCCGGTTCTTCACCATGCGACAGAGAAACCGGACTCCCTTTTCTACTTCTTCTTGCATGGTCGACTGTTGGTTTTGTATCCTGAGGGCGAAACAAGAGATCCTACTCAATCCTGGCAAGGTCAAGAAAAGTTACAATGGAACCAGAAAATAATTGAGCTCATAGGAACACCCCAGTCCCATTTCTCTTTCTGTTTTTTTGCTGAGGCCAGGCAAGTCCCTGTATCCACTTAGGCTGAGACACAAATGCAGATTTCCTGTTTCAGCACAAGGAAGCCTTTTGTCTTCAAGTTGCAACACCTTTGAGTGACTCTGCCGGCCGACGGGAGAGAAATGACTCACTCGGAAGGAGGAAGGCAGATTGCAGGGCTGTTACATCAGGGATCCGTCAACTGGGTCACAACCGTGGTCTTACGCATTCACCCGTCAACAAAAGCAAGCTGCTGGTGGCTGCCGTTGTGGGAGGAACCCAGAGAGCATCTATGCCAGCCTATTCACCCCCTACAGCAACGTTTCTTCCTAATGCCGCAACCCCTTAATACAGTTCCTCATTTTGTGGTGACCCGCAACCATAACATTATTTTCGTTGCTACTTCATAACTAACTTTGCTACTGTTATGAATCGTAATGTAAATATCTGATATGCAGGATGTATTTTCATTCACTGGACCCAATTTGGCACAAATATCCAAAATTTGAGTACTGGTGGGGTTTGGAGAAAATATTACTTCACATTTGGGAGTTGTAGTTGCTGGGATTTATAGTTCACCTAAAATCAAAGGGCATCCTGAACTCCACCAACGATGAAATTGAACCAAACTTGACACACAGAACTCCCATGAAGAAATACTGGAAGGGTTTGGTGGACATTGACCTTGAGTTTTGGAGTTGTAGTTCACCTACATCCAGAGAGCACTGAGGACTCAAACAATGATGGATCTGGACCAAACTTGGCACAAACACTCAAAATGGGAACAGTGGCGGAGTTTGGGGGAAATCCACATTGCCATTTGGGTGTTATAGTTGCTGGGATTTATAGTTCACCTAAAATAAAAGAGCACTCTGAACCCAGCCCACACTAAACTTGGCACACTACCTACATGGCCAACATTGAATACTGATGGGGTTGGGGAGGGCTGTTTTTGAATTTTGGGAGTTGTAGATCACCAACAATAAAAGAGATGAACAGATGTGTTTTCTGATGGTCTTTGGTAACCCCTCTAAAGCCTCCAATGCTAAACATGACCACAATAGTGTCAACTATGGGGCACACAGACACTCCCAAAAGACAGGGATGCAGATAGGAGCAAAGTAAGGGCACTGCTATCCAATAATGCTACTCCTAATAAACCATTTCTCTCCATTTCCAAGTGTTTAGCATTGCAGTTAAAAAATTCAGTGGAAATTCAAAAATACAGTGCAAGCAGAATTTTTACAAAGGGTACTTTGAGTTACCAAGGGTACTCAAATACAGAATACCTAGTTCTAAGGGTGGACAAGGGTCAGACATAATTCCTTTTTTGGAGTTCCAAAATTTGAAATATCCCCAAATCCAAAAATTGTCCATATGGGACACCTCTGCTTCCTCGTGGTTCAATGCACTCAAACTTTGTTTCAGATTTTTTAAAAAAATACTGTACAAAATAACCTTTGGGCTATGTTTATAAGGTATACAAAATATGTTTTGTGTTTAGCCTTGGATCTCATCTCTAAGATCTTATTATACACAAATATAACAAAATCCAAAACATTTCTGGTCCCAAGCATTTCAGATAACCTTTCTCAACTTTTTGCAAAACATGGCTAAAACATAAGACATGCAATAACAGAAAGCAACACAACGGAGTTAAAAACATTCCAGCATCCTCTTATCAGGTCTTTGTTTAAAAACATTTGGATCAGAGACTTGAAAAGACTTTGCTGCCAATGGAAGGAGAGCTCTAACTCCCCATTTTGGTTATGGCACAATACAGCCTGTTCCTGACACTCAGCTGGCAAGGGAATGGCATCACAAAAACCAATTAATAGTACCATAGCACACACATCAGGGGCACTTATTTTGAATTTTGAAATCAACCTGCAATATGCAGACCAAGCATTCCAGAAAAGCAGTGTTTCTCAACCTGGGAGTCAGGACCCCTGAGGTGGATCGTGAGGGGGGTGTCAGAAGGGTCATTAAAGACTATCAAAAACACAGTATTTTCTGTCTTGGGAAGTTTGGCCCAATTGGTGGGATTCAGAATGCTTTTTCATTGCAGGTGAACTATAAATTACAGCAACTACAACTCCCAAATGTCAAGGTTTAATTCCATCATTGGTGGAGTTCAGAATGCTCTTTGATTGTAGGTTAACTATAAATCCCAACAACTACAACTCCCAAATGACAACATCAATTCCGCCCCAAAACCCAACCAGTATTCAAATTTAGGTGTATCGGGAATTTGTGCCAAATTTGGTTCAGCGAATAAAAATACATCCTGCATATTATTATTCATAAAAATTCATAAAAATAGCAAAATTACAAGTTATGAAGTAGCAACAAAAATAATTTTATGTTTGGGGGTCACCACAACATGAGGAACTGTATTAAGGGATTGCTGCATTAGGAAGGTTGAGAACCACTGCAGTAAAGTAATCCACAGGCAAACTAAGCTGTCTTTCATACTGCACAGGTCCTTAGTGTTGTGATTCTACTTTTACTACTATGGCAACATCCTTTCCAAGTACTGGGATTTGCAATTTAGGATCAGGTCTTTAGAATGTTTGGTGAGAAAGCAACAGTGCCTCCGCAAAGTCCAATTCCCATCATCCTACGGGATGTGGAATCAGAGGTGAACCCAGGTCAAACAGTGCCACAGATGACTCACACAGGTGAGCCAGGGAACGTTTGCTATCAAACAAGGCTGCTAACCAATCGGTTCTTGGGAACAGTAAGAGTCAGCATTCCTGACCAGCTTCTCCAGTAAGTCAGAGCCAAAGCAAAACCCAGTCAAAAGGGCATTTTGAAAAGGGAGGATGATTGCACATTGTTATCAATTCACATAATGGGTCTGATTTGGAAATCCATTGGGTGACCTTATACAAGTCACATTCTCTGTCTTAGAAAACTCAATGACAAGGTTGCCTTTAGTTGGAAAAAAAAAGACTCAAAAGGGAATCCAAGGGAAAAGGTCAGAAACTAACACCATCTACTAGCAGAAATCAAACATTAGCACTATAAGACAAACCTATTATGGAGCTTTCCTGAGAAGATTTGCTCGGGGATGGGGAGGGTCTACCTTTGCCTTCCTCTGAGGCTGAGAGAATGTGACCCATCCAAATCCATGGGTGGTCTTCAGAGCCGCACTCTTACCGTCTATACCACAAACTCTCACAACATCTAGAGCAGGGGTCCTCAAACTAAGGCCCGAGGGCCGGATAGTCCTCCAAGGTCATTCACCTGGCCCTCACTCAGGGTCAACTTAAGTCTGAAATTACTTGAAAGCAAACAACAACAACCCTATTTCATCAACCAAAGGCAGGCCCACACTTTCTATTAAAATACTAGTAGTAAGTTTATATTTGTTAAAATTGTTCTTAATTTTAATTATTGCATTGTTTTTAAGTGTCTTTTGCACTACAAATAAAGATATGTGTAATGTGCATAGGAATTCATTCATGTTTATTCCAAATTATAATCTGGCCCTCCAACAGTTTGAGGGACTGTGACTTGGCCCTCTGTTTAAAACGTTTGTGGAACCTTGACCTAGAGTAACAGTACTTGGGAACAACTGCCTCGAATACATTCACCTTCCCCAACCAGGGAAGAAATGCTACATTGGGAACTATAACTCCCAAAAGTGGTGCATACCCATGCTGACTGGCGGCTTCTGGGAGTTGTAGTCCAAGGACAATGGTTAAGAAAAGGCAAACCACTCCGAGCTGGCAAATTGAACACAGGTCTCTCTCAATCCAGTTTTAGTTTTGAATAAGTTTTTAATCCAGGTTGCTGTGAGTTTTCCGTATGGCCATGTTCCAGAAGCATTCTCTCCTGGCGTTTCGCCTGCATCTATGGCAGGCATCCTAAGAGGTTGTGAGGTGTGCTGGAAACTAAAAAAATGGGTTTATATATCTGTGGAATGTCCAGATGGGAGAAAGAACTCTTGTCTGTTGGAAGTAGGTGTGAATGTTTCAATTGGCCACCTTGATAGCATTGAATGGCCTTGCAGCTTCAAAGCCTGGCTGGTTGTTGCCTGGCAGAACCCTTTATTGGGAGATGTTAACATGAAAGGCTGCAATAAATGCAGGCGAAACATCCAGAGAGAATGCATCTGGAACATGGCCATACAGCCCGGAGATTCCAGTAATGAAAGCCTTCGACAATACATACAAAGAATGTTTATATTGCTGCATTTAATGGCCTAGCAGTCTCAACGTTTAGCTTCTTACTACCTGGGGAAACCCTTTGTTGAGAGGTGATTCGCTATTCTTTCTCCCACCCTGGACATTCCACAGATATATAAACCCCATTTTCCTAGTTTCCAACAGACCTCACAGCCTCCGAGATTGCCTGCCGTAGATGTGGGTGAAACATCAGGAGAGAATGCTTCATGAACATGGCCATACTTACAGCAAAACTAGGATTGGTGATATACAATGAAATTCTGGGATTTGTAGTTTGGGGAGACACTAGAGCTGCAATTGTGTTCTAAACAGGGTATAAAAATAAAGTTATTATTATTATATAATTATTATTATTATTATAATAACACTTCTCCCTACCAATATAAGAATTGCATAAAATGCTGTTATTGTAGTAAAAGTGGAATCGCAGGGGTATGTTGTGTGAAAGGTCCTTAATCTTGAGCTAACACTTAATGTGCAGATATGAGCAGATATGAGCATCCCACTCCTACAAACAGCAATGCACCTGGAAATATAGCAATTGCTCACCTTGTCTCCACACTCACGCAACACACCTGTAGTCAAGATCTGTACACTCATAGCCTTTGTATGAGCAAACCCTTCTCCCCTCCCAGCAAACTGGCCTGACCAACTTCCTGGAACAGCTTGTCTCAACCGACTATCTGTCGGTTATGGGAC